GTGAGCCCCGGGGGTTGCGTGTGCCGGGGATCGGGCTCCTTCCCGGGGGGAAGGCTCTGCCTGACGCCTCGTCCCGGGGGCGGGAGCCGTCCTGCTGTGCCGGGGTGCTCGGGCATCGCCTAAAAATAATGTTGAAATAGGGACATCCAGTTTCAGCACCTCTCGTTCCAACGTTCCTGGTTTTTTTTCTCTATGAAATAAATACTGACAAGATAAGGGATTTGATCTTTATGTCCTCGCCTGCTAGAGTATTGATTTTGCAAGGAACTTCACAAAGTCGTTTTCTCTGGACGCCAGAGAGGCAGCTGAATTATCTGTAAGGAGCAGGAGCTCGCAGGATCGTGTTCTGTGTTGGACCGTGCAGTCGCATAAGCTTTTAAGCAAAGAGAATGGTATTATTGATATAGAGCGATGGATGAACTGTACATGCAGGGAAACAGAATGGCTTGTGTGCCCAGCTGGGTCGGGTAGTTTAATGGGAGACCGCTGCTCACTACGAACTCTGCGTCTCTTGAAATTCCCTGGATGCTGGCTGCAATTCCATGTATATAACCCATGAATAATTTTCTTAAATCCTGTCTGCCACCCCAAAAAAATTCCGGTTATGAACGCAGAGACAGTGTGTGGGGTTTTCCTCAATTTCCAAAGCTGCTTGATTGCAAAAAAAAGCCCATCCTCAAATTTAAACAGTTTGTTTTATAGCTATTTGTCTTGTCAAAGATTCTTGACATATGAGTCCTTCTATACAAAAGAACTGCTGAGTTATTTGCAGTGACTATAAATAACTTAAGTAATCTGATGTGGTATTTATGCCTTTTCAACATTTCTATTACCTTTAGCTGCGCTGGTTTTGCTGAAGTGTGGCTCACAGCCATTGTTATTATAAACAATACAGTCTAAATGTTGACTGTGAAATTGGACAGCACTGAGGTTTAAATTTCAAGCTATGTAGTCTTTTAAATAAAATATTCGCATTTAATGCATTGCCTCTGAGTCAAGTGAATGACAGCTATTTGCCTTTCTAAACCTCTTCAAAGGAACAAGAAAGAATATTACCCTATGGTTAACTGTGTGTTGTTTTCAAAGAAAACAAACTTTTAAAACCTTAGACAGGTCAGTGCTGGAAGGAGAGGAGCTAGACCTTCCAAAGATCTTGTATTGTTGAAGTAGCAAATGAAAAAATCCTCAATTGCATCTTTTTTTCATACACAGGTCTAGACATTCACTGGAAGATGCAGCAGCCTATTAATCATACATTCAAACATTCCTCACCCTCTGGTCAAACCTTTTATCCCCTCCTCCCCCCACCCCACCCCCCCCAAATCTTCTTGATGCCTCACATTAAATTTCGTGGGCTTGCTTTTGAGGCACAGTACAGCTCTTTTTGAGCCAATGTCTTTGAGTTTTGCTTATTATCATCTCCTGCTCCGGCTTCTCAGCCTCTCTCATGTTTAAAACATCCAAACAACTTATGTGTTTGCGTTGGCGTTAAAAAAAAAAAAAAAAGTTTATACCTGCTTTATGCAAGGTTGAGCCCGCACCGTCAGTTTGGTTGGGTGTAGTAGTGAGCAGGGTACCGGCTGTGCGGTGGCTGTGGGTGCAGGCTGTGTCCTGGGAGAGCCAAGCAAGTCTGCTTTGCATGTGGTTGTAACAGCTCTTGTCAGGAAGGTGGCAAAACCAAATCAGATGGGAAGGTGCAGGAACTAGAAGGAAGGTGGCGAGTCTGATGAAGAATGTCTAGTCTCTTCTTATTGTGCAAACCTCTACAAACAAGATGTCTGTGTGGTCTGGGGCTTTCTTAGTTTCATCTAGAGGAACTGGGGAGAAAGTTCTCACCAGCCAGTGAGGATGCCCTCGGGCAAACCGTGAAGTTGCTCTGTAAAGCAAAGATAGTGACAGCAAAGTGGCACAAAACACCACGTTGGGTAGACCCAACGGTTTGCTGCCACTGTTGGTGGTCCCTTTTCCTACCTCCTTCAATCCCTTCCTTTCCAACTGCATGCTTCTGCCCGATTGTCCCTCTCCTGCACAAGCACCATTGCTCCTGTGTGCCAGGTCCTCTATCATCCCGTCAAACTCTCTAACTCGGCGCCTTCCTCCTCTTTGTGGACCACCAGCACACCCAAAAAAGAGGTGGCTCAGTCTTGGCTGTATTAGTGGCATGGGTTGGCAGGCTGAAGGTTGCGGTGGTGTGAGCAGGACTGGAGGGGGGAACGGTGCCTTCCCAGGTTTGTTGGCAGATGTCTTGTGCCTGGTGTGTCCTCCATTCCAGTGAGAGTTATTGCAAAACCAAAACTGTAGTTGGAACATTTCCCTAAGCAAAGGTTTGTCCTGAAAACCCAAGATAGTTCAGGTTAAGATTTTTCCCCCACACCCCTACGTAGTTTGTAATTTTTAAGGCGTTCCCTTTGCCCTGGTGCTGACGTTTGTTGGTACTGGCTCTGCTGTTGCTGCGTTTTGGCTGCCAGATGCAGCATCTCCCTTTCAGGCAGGCCAGGTTTAGGCTGGGTGTGCAGAACCACACACGAGGTGGCCATGAGGCGCACGTGCCTCTTCTCGGGGACTGGTGACGCTCTGGTGGGATGGGTACAAATCTTGGTGCGCCTATCTCTAAAGCTGTCTCTTGTCATCCTCGATGAAGTCCTTTCTCTTCTCTCCTCCCTCCACCCGTTGCCAGCAGGTACAGTATTATAGTGTTGTCCTTACTGTCCTGTAGGAATGTGTGGGTGAAACATGGCCGGTCACACTGTCTTCAGAGGAGCTTGTGGTTCTTCTTCAGATGCAACTTTATACATAATGTAAATTACCAAATGAAACATTGGTTAACTTGTAGGTGGAAAACTGCAGAAAGAAGTATTTGGTGCGATAGCTGTGCATAGACATGGGAGTGTGAACGAAGTATTGTGTATCTGACCTTTGAAAATGTGTTTTCCAACTAAAACATGTTTCTTTGAAACACTAATAATGAAGTTAATCAGACTTTTATGATGTCTATGAAACATAAATATTTCAGATTTAAAGTATGTGATAAAATCTGCATATTGGAGTTTGTCTTTAAAATGTCATTGTTATAATAAGTGAATTTGCAGACAACACCGCAAATTGTTTCCTGCTCTACCCTCCAGTTAACTTTTTCTTGGCAACTGGCTGATTTGAGTCATGCATCAGTCTTAATACGTAAAGCTGCTGCTTTTAATAAAATAACCCCCCCCGAGCTGTTAGCAGGGTCTTTCCGGTGTTCTGACAGAATATAAATAACCAGCCTGTTTGTGCTCCTCTGAAAGTCAGTGGAAGCTGGATTATTTCCATTCTGAATTGCCATTTCGCTCACTCGATCGAGACCTCTCCTTTTAAGACCACAACTTATGTGCCCGAGTATTTGGTTGTACCTTTTTTTTTTTTTTTTTTGCTTGCCTCATGCCATTATCAGTTTGGAGCACTTAGTTTTTACTCTCTAGAAAATAACATGTGGGTAGTCAATTACTTATTTATTGTGTGTTTCAGTTCTGGTGCTACTACCTTAAATTTTCCACTGGGAAATACACTTAAAATTTTTTCTCAATTCCAGATTTTCGGGGGATAGAGATGTTTGTTTTTAACATGTGAATCTTGTTTGTGAATTTTTTTTTTCATTTGTTTGTCTTTTTAAAATCTGAAAGGATGCAGAGGTAATGTGGAGGCCCAAGTGGGGAAGTGAGGTGGTGGAGGGTTGAAAATATTTGAGTATTAATACACCGAATTGAACTTCTTGTCCACAGCAGCACAACCAACCACTGGTTCGAGTGCCCCCACCAGAGACCCTCAGTTAGGTCGTGGTCTCTGGAGTCACGTGTGAATGAAGTTTCTCCAACAGCCATACTCTTGGTCATGGGGTTACTCCTACGCAAAACTGAAAACACCAACAAATAGCAGTCGTTTGGCTAAGAAGTGGCCCAGGAGAGAAGAAATATGATGTGGTGGGCCAGCTCCTGAGGCTGGCTTTTTTGGTGGCTGGCGAGTCTTTTGTGCCTGGGCTTGTCATTTGATGAGCTGCAATGGCTCATCAGGCAAAAAATAATTAAGGGGAAGCAGGCTGAAAAGGATTATTTTTTGGCATTGGCTCAAGGCATGGGCTCAGAGGACTGGCCACGGGAGAAACAGGGGGTGGAAGGCTTGGAGGCTGCTGAAGCTCATGTCCAGAGTACCACCATGCATCTGTGGCATGGAGGAAATTATTCTTTAGCTAGAAGATTGCCCTCCTCTCATTTTTATTCTGACTTGTGTGCATTGTCTTTTTATACCGTAATGGGAGTTTCTAGACAGAAATCAGGGCTTGGTTTACGAAATAAGGGAAGAACCTTTCCCCTACCTGATACCAAGTATCCTTTGGGTCAGTTGTGTTCAGGCTTATTAATTACTTAAATGAATTAATCTTATCTATAATTAATATCGGATAGAAAAGAAAGTGGAGGAAAGCTACTGAAAAAATCAAGTTTTGACTTCTTGAAATATGTAGCAGCAGTATTTTCACAAATGAATATTGCTGGGGCTTGGTTTATGGTATAGCCCTTATCACCCAGCTTAATTGAAATTTATACATGTATATATGTTAAATAAAAAACTTTGGAATCCACATCTGCCAAAACCTCAGTCTTAGGTAGAGGCTGAACAACTTTGCACTTAGTTCATTCCAGAAATATTTCATATTAGAAATAGCATGAGGAGCCATCCTTTGCTGAGAACAAAGTCAAGATGCTTTTGGCCTTACGTGTGTTGACTGCTACAGCTATGGGTGACAGGGATATGATGTGTTTGCACATGAGTGTAGATCAGAGGTGACTAACTCTTTTTCTTCTTCACCAGTTTCTCTGTATTGATTAGATTTGCATTTGCTTTTTGTAATTGCTGATGGCTAAACGTGACCTTCTTCAGGTCCTGGTCAGTGACAGGAATGCAACCTGAGAGCAGTGAATGTGCATGGAGTCGTACCTCTTCATGTTGTGGCCGGTGCGGGGCCGCTGGTGGTGCTGGGTTATTGCTGGGGCTGTGCGGTGGAAAGCTGGGTGTTGCTCACCACTGTCATGAGTGGGCTGTTCAGCTGAACTGACCAGCCATTTTCTTACTACGCCTGCGGCAGGGTCCTCCTGCTGTCTTTCTTCTGGATGCTCCTTTGAACTCTCCCTTTGGGTGCTTTCTGGCCATGGTTTCCACGCAAGAGCTCCTAGAAAGGCTCAGCTGCAGCAAAGCATGTGTTAGACTGGGGGATGTGGGAAAAATGGGTCTTGGATACCAGTTTTGATCTAACTGGTCTCTTTTTGGGTAATCCCCCTGTCTCCTTGCTTTTCTTAAGTTTCTGTTAAAACTTTTTTACAATTATACATCTTTAATAATTTTTATAATTCATAACCCTTTGTCCGACTGGGTTACCTTAACATAGCACTTCCAGCAGTTTCTGGGACATTAGCCGTCTCACTGAGGCTGTTCAGGTATCCCTGTCAAACCTCAGCTCTGGAGCGGACAACGCACCCACTGCAGCAGGGGTTGATTCGTTGGAGTCAAACCATTAACCAGTTCCCATAGAGCACCTGCTGACTTTTGGTGGTCTCTTAGTAGGATTCAGCTGATAAAGCCTGGTCACCGTCCCTCAACTCAAAAACTTCTCTAATCTGATGGAGGTATGACCGTGCAGATTCCTCTTGTTCAACCTCTGCTTGTGCCACCAGGGCATGAAGGAAAGGACGTGGGTTGTGCTGCGCTTAGTAAACTGTTGACTGCTGGCTGTTATGTCAGAGCAAAATCTTCTGTTTCTGTATTAGCTGGTGACAGAGGTGAGGATTCCGCCACCTGTAGCTGAACCTGCCCAGTGTAGATAGTATTGATGGGACCTCCTGGAAGATCTTCAGGAAGAGCCAGCTGAAGAATCATGCCATAACATCTGGTAGATGGGCATTTCATGTATGTTAGTAAGGTCTCATCTGCTTCTGAGTGCCCAGGCTGCCAGTACTGTGGGAAAACATTCTTTTTTTTTTTTTTTTTTTTTTATACCTGTCTTGTATAATAGGAAGGAAAGTCTCACCTGTGTCTGTTCCATTGGACACCTTTTAACAACCATCCTCAAGGGTGCCATGGGACAGCCTGCTTTGAGCTGTGCCTTTTGATTTCTTGGGGAACAAAGTGAGCATGGTTACTCGCTGTCAGAGCAAATGCTTATTTTGAGAGGTATGATCACGCCGGCATTTTGGAATTGGCCCTGGCTCTTCTGGGTCGGTGAGTGGAGCTGAGACATTAGTGTACGGAGACAGCAAACTGCGAGGGGTGAGAAGGGATGATGTGAATTTCCTCAGAAGTGAGAGACACAGCTGTCGGCAGGATGTTTGGCATGGGAGGGACCACTGGTTGCGAAATGCACTTTTCCACCTTCGTTAACCAGAGCCAAGACCGAAGAGCTGCTCAGACATGCTCCAAGATGCTGTCCTCTCGCTGGCTTACATGAAGGTAGGGATAAACTGTGCAAGCAAACACCCCTTTAATCAAGGGAGGCTCCTGCAGTGACTTGCATGATGTCTTAATGTTCCTCATGCCAGCGCGACATTTTCTTGTCAAGTTGCAGAGACCCATGTATCATACGTTTTGTAGGTTGTATGCGAGTTGACGGTCAGCTTGCAGACAGCATTCACTGATCTCTGCGTCTCACTTCTACAGAAGCAACAAAATTTCACATCTGTAAAATAATAATAAAATAGAAAAGGCAGCCCGGAGTCAACATTCTCCTTTCTGTAATTATGGCTAAACTTGCCAAGCCCCAAAGTATCTTTTTTCCCCACTTTTGGTGAAAAAAGCTTCTTTTGAAAATGGCTCTTACACATGAGTTTTTTAAGTGTCTTAATTATCCTTCTAAAAAGGTTCCGGAGAAAATGGTAGAAGTACTGAAATTTGTAATTTTTTTTTTTTTAAGTTATTGTTAAACTGAAGGTACTTTATTCTTTTGAGGCATCACAGATTAACTTAATGAATTAACAACTTTTGAGTGAGCAGCCTTGCTGGCCTGGGGTACTGACAGACATTCTCTGAATGTGAATTGTGCTGGGATGGCTTGTAACATCACTATTGCAGAAGTGTCCACCCTTCCTCCCTGATGAGGAGGAGAATGGGATGTGTGGCATCTCGCCTGCATCCCCATCCTGGCTATGAGTTTAAACCATCAGTGAAGATTAGGGGGCTGTACTGTGGTGGCTGAGGAATGGATATTCTCTCCCAGGTGCTCTCTCCTGAGATTTGGGTGGTTACCCTGGCATAGTAGCCATTGGCAGCATCTATCTGTAAGTGTTCACAGGCTTTGCAGATTTTAAGCTTCAATTTTCTGGGTGATTCCCTGAAAGCAATCCTTTCACAAAATACGGACCTCATATCCCAAGCAAGCGTGGTATTGGAAGACAGGTCCAAATATAAGGAGATCATTGAGCAATGTAGAGAGTAGTTAGTTTACATTTTAAATGTAAACAGAAAACCTGTTTGCTTTATAAAGCCCAACAGGATTTCAGCAGCTTGCAGCAAGCAGGGTTGGCTGTAATTTGTGATTGTGCTTGTGATCTCCGTTTGCTGCTCACAGCAGTTTAGTAGGTGAGAAGAGTATAAATGGTGTATGGATCCCTGACTAACTTTGCTAAGGGCTTGAAGAATGTGAAGGCAGTTACCTGGATG